AGTAAAAAAAAAAAAAAAAAACATGTCCTGAATCCACACCTGACAGGAAGTGGAGATTCTATTTATCCGATAAATAGAATCTCCACTTCCATTCAATGCACGTTTTAAAGACGTGAAATAGCATTTCCTACATATTAATATATAGTATTAGTAGAAAGTAACTGCTCAATATTTTATTATACTAGCCACACAACACTATCATTGATTGTTGCCATTGCTGCACAAAGTATTACAGGAAAAATAAAAATGGTTTCATAGTTATTGACACAGATTGAATACACTCAGTCTTCTGCAATTTTTCAAAATTTTATGTAAAATATGTCTTTAATAGACTTACGTTTCTCTTGTATGTATACATTGAGATTTAAATAAGACTTACAATGTGTCAGTTGACTTGTTTAATTGTAAAGAACGTACAGTACATCATTAGCAATGAAGCTAAACAATAAAAATCCAGCAATGAGTTGCTAAACTTTCCTGGCAACATTTGGTGGTGACAACTATTATAAAAAGGTTTTTAGTAAAATATGATATTTTAATTATTATAAAATGGCAAAATGCTTAATTTTGAGGGTAGGGATGAGTTTTATAAAAAAGAAACTGTAAATGCCACTAACCAGTAAGATCGTCCTCAAACGTGACCCTACTGGAGATACATATGACCCCCATTATTTCCCCACTCCTCAACCTTTAATCATCAAAATTTAATAACATCAATCCCCTAACTTTCTTGACGTTTCAAAGTATCCTAAGTCCAAAAATATAAAAATCTGAGGGGGAGGTCACTTTTTGTCTGATCACCACACTTTCCCTCTGTATAACAGTGGAGAAAGTAAAAATCATCATCAGGATATCAAAACTTGTCAATATTCGATACATGTTTACCTGTATTAAGAAATTTAAACATTTGCTTAAAAATAATAACATTCCTATCTTGTTTTCTAAATAATGTTCAAAATATTCAATATCTTACAGACTGAATTTATCAAATATCTAACAGTATTCAAATATTTAGTTTTGTCATACTATTATTGGGTAATTTTTGCAGAATACTATTGTCTAACAACTAGACTGTTAATAGCTTGGTTGAGCCTAATAGAGTTCTTACAAGATAACTCATTGAAGATTTTTAGTGGCTGTCTGGTGTTCTACTTATTTCTTATTGTCCATATTCCTTTTGTCATAAAATATATAATATTGTATATTAAAACATATTGTGGTTAATGTTTTTTTATGAAAGCAACATGACATTATTATACAGTATATACACTTTTGCATTAGGCTATCAGATTCTTATCCACATTTTAATGCTATCCTATCAATATCCTACTGCATATAAGTTGATTTGTGTTATGGGCAATGAATTTTAAGCTAGAAACTTCAAGATCAAGCTTATAAGCCAGCATATATGGTGTGTATCATGCATTGTCTAATTTTTCAATTGTTATAAAAAGACTGTCATGTAATTCTCACCTTATTGTGTACTGTTAACATTTTAAAAATTATTAAAAATCAAAAATTGTCTTTCTTACAACTTAAAAATTTCTACAAGTATCTTAAATTAGTTGAATATAAAAGAATTTTTAACAATTTAATTTAAATTTGTAATATGAAATGTTTTCAATGAAATTATAATGTTAAAGAACTCAACATTATATGGTTTTTGTTTTACCCAAAATAATAATATCCTAAACAGAAAATAATTGTTACAGCAAAGCATAAAATCTGAAATTTTAAGATCATTGCAAGTTTGATATTAAAAATATATTGTTATAACATTAAACATTGTTTATTTTAATACAGCATTGTGTGTTTATGAAAACATACAATTCACAAATTCAATATTTCATTTTTGTCAGTCACATATGATATGATTTCCAAATATGATAATTATGAACAAAATCATAAAAATACAGATTTGTAAATTTTATTTACCAAAACGTTGTTCACATTTATTATACCTAACCAGACTATTAAAAAAGTCTGATAAATCTATTTGATGATGGGTTCTTGAAAAACTGTAAGAAGGAAAAAACAAAAGTTAAAATTTCTGACAGCTAAAATTAAAATAAGAATTTTAATATATTCTAAAGATAATTAATTGATTAATTAATTAATTAATTAGATGACATGAGGAGGGTAAACGTCACGCCAGAAGACGGATTGAACCGTACCAAATGGAGAAGGGCATGCAAGAAAGCAGACCTTTCATAGAAGCAGGACTTCAATGCTAAGAAGAGGAAGAATTAATTGATTATAAGTTTTTAAAATAAATTGCTTAAAAGTCTGGTGAGGTAAATACAACAACTCAAAAATTTGAATGTTTCAGCCAATGACGTAGAATAAAGATTATCTGATTTTAAAAACTAATTGCTGGAATAACTTGCCTGTTCCTTACCTTTCATATTGATTCAGTATTATTTGTTGAGCCAAAATAAGTTTATTGGAGAGTGCACTTACCCTTAATAGTAAGGATAAATACACTCTCCACTGTAATAGCTGGGAAGCCAAATGTGGACCAAGTGCAAAAGCTGTGAAAGTAACCTGTCATTTGTGTAGTAACTTTAATACATTTTGACTAATACTTCTTGCCTTTCTATTTTGTATCATTTTATGTTAAAATGGTAACACTAAATTCAAAGTTTAGAGCTTATCATACGTGGTTATACATTTTACTTAATTTCTAATTTAACATTATTTTCATAACCATTTCCTTTTACAAAAATTGGCTGTGAAAATATTTTAAAATTAGTAATTAAATAAAAGATATAACCACATATGATAAGCCCAAAAACCATTCTGTTAAAATTCTAACACAATTTAGAGAAACTTCAGTATACTCACTCCACTGCAAGTATAGCTACAGCAAATGAAGTAACAATGAACATTAAAAGGCAACAGTAAAACCAGCAATAGTTATTGTAATTTAGGTCCTTAGTAGCAATAGAAATGTAAAGTGATTTACAAAACCAAATTAAACTATTTGAGAGTAAGTTTCTCTTGAAAAGATAGTCTATGTCTTATTATGATCTGGAATAAGATGCTTCCTAAAGTTAAAACTAAAAGTAATTAACCACTAGCTTTCTTTTGCCACATCTTGAGGAGTGTGTGTGTAGAATACAAGAGGTACATTTACCTCACTGGCATGTGCACTTACCCCAATGATTAAAATTTCATGGGTAAATGCACCCTGTCATAAAGCATACAGGTGAGATGCTTTACAACTTTAGAATATTTGCACTTATTATTCCATAATGTTTTTCTAAATATTTTAGCTTAAAATTACAATCACAAATATTGAATTTTAAATATAAAAATTTGTGGTTGCAGCAATGGTTTGAAAAGTCTGGTTTTATCTTCTGGCAGTCATGTTAAAACAAGCTTGAATACTATCAATACCTAAATTTATGAGCTACAAATGTATTATCAGTCAGTTTAAATTAAGCTGGTAAGATATTACAGAAAGATGCAGTTACTCCAAGGGTGCACTTACCTCATCCTAATCTTGAAATATATAGTCATAACTAGTGTATAGATATAATTATTATTATAAAATTTATATGGCCTAATTTTTGTTTAAAAAATTCAGGTTTGAAAAATACTTTATTAAAAATAAAATATTTTTATATTTTATTGATGAAAAATTGTTAATATTCTTTATTCTATAGTACATTTACATAGTTACATTAACTGATTCATTTTCTTATTTGTATCTATATATATAAATGGACGTGTTTGTGCCTATACGTCACTCTGCAGCCAAAACTACATATCGCACATGAATGGTGTTTGTGTGTGGTAGTAGCCCCAAGTCTCCCATCGTGCACTATGGTGGTTGTGTCTCGATAGCTATAAGGTTGTGAGAGATATGGGGTTTGAAAGTGGTTGACTTTGAAAATATGTGACGTTTCAAATGAGAATGTTCCAGTTTTTTCTAGAAAGTTCCAGAACCTAAAGGTGAAATTTGGTACACAGAGTACGTCATGAAAATGCACACTAAGAAGGGATTTTTCGAAATTCCCCCGCAGGAGGAGAGGGAAAGTATTAAGGCTTAATCTGAAGAACGGCTTCTACTGTACTATTTTAGATGCGTTGTTTTGTTTTCAACAACGTTTAGTCTTCATTGAGTACTTAGGGATATTAAATTGATAACATTTCAGACATTGTTATAAATATTTATATACTTCGATTTTTTAACCAAATGTTTGAACTGTTTTAAATTCAAATATCTTTTTGCATATTGGTTTGATTATAAAATGATTGTAAATGTTTCAGAAAATTTATCAAATTAAAAACAGTTTGTTTGATTCTCAACAATTCTCATCATTCTCAGCAGTAGGTGTTAAATAACAATTACTATGGTTGTTGAAATACTGAATGTAAATAGGGTTTGCTTGAAAAATCCATGCAAGCGAAGCCGCGGGTAACAGCTAGTTGTTATAATACATATTTTGAGAGAGAATTTATTTTTAATTTTTTGTAATATTTCATTCATAACAGGAAAGTAAAAGATTTATACAAAATTCTTTCTTACAGAAAATGTAATATCTAAAAATTTCATTATTATTTCAATAATTTAATTATTAAAAGAATAGAGTATTACAGGGTTATTTCTATACAAGTAAGGATATACTCACGTCATTTCTGTCAAACGAATATGCCATGGCAAATAACCCATCACAGATCGACATGGACCATATTGTAATATCAAATCTGGATCAGGAAAGTCTGCATTTCCTAATGAAATTAATAAATGCTCTTAATAATAAACAATTTTGTTTAAGTAGCATACTTCATAGAACATATAATAAAATTTATACCAAACACAAATTTTAACTTAGTATTTTTACACTAGTATTTTAATGTATTGTATCCATATACAGTTTGAAAATTATAAACACACCCAACTTTTTTCAATAACAAAAACATTAACAATAGTAATGTACAATTTCTGTAATTACTCAGGATATATTTCTTCTTAATTGAAGTTCAGACTATTTACAAAAATATCAACTTTTCGAGTCTATCTTTATCCATTTTATACAATATTGATATTTTTGTAAATAGTCTGAACTTCAATTAAGAAGAAATATATCCTGAGTAATTACAGTACAGAAATTGTATCGCTATGCAAATTAAGTAAGGACAACTCGTAACTACCACCAGAGGGCCTGAAGCAGTTAAAAGTAGATAAGGACAATGTGATGAGAAGAATTCTTCATGTTTTTAATGTAAAGTGTCAGAACCTATAACAGAAGGCTGACACTTGATCGTTTTTAACATTGTGAACTTTTTTTTTTACTTATTGTTTACCTTTGTTTTAAGAAGTATATTCTTCAAAAAAAAAAAAAAAAAAAAAAAACATGTTAACTGTTACTTCTGGGGTTTATAAAATGGATAAAGATAGACTCGAAAAGTTGATATTTTTGTAAATAATCTGAATTTCAATTAAGAATAGTAATGTACTTATTATATTATCAATAGTATGTTGTTTACAATATCAATTTAAACATTTTCTGAAATTTTTAGAGCTATCTGACAATTACAAAAAAAAAATTATCACAGATTTTTCAATTTTTCATTGTTTCATAAGCATAAACACAGGTGCATAAAAAAATGATTTATGATGTCTCAATATTTTGTAGATCTACCATTTGATTTAATCAAATACTCTCAGGCATACATTTTGCTGTTTAATATTTTCTCAACAATCCATGATAGCTAATTTCAGTTCATTTACAGTGTTGTATTGTCTGTTTTGGCCATAAACAAGACAACTCGTAATGCCCCAAACATTCTCTATTGGATTCATATCAGGACTCCACAATGGCTAATCAATTACATTAATTTTTTTTTTTTTGGCAAAACAATTTTTAGCTGACTTTGATGCATGAATGGCAGCATTATCCTCTTGGAATTTCCAGTTCTCTCACCCAATTAGTGATCCAAAAGTGATTAAATTTTGATATAACACTTCTTGATATTTCAAATTCCATTTTTTTATTATCTGAAAAGGCTATTTGTTCTCACTCCTCTTTCCATGTCATCTTATTTTTGGCCCACTTTAATCTAGCTGTTTTGTGCAATTGTGTTAATTTCGGTTTGGCAATAATTTTTGTAAATTTGACATTTTTATTATGCATACATCTCCATACAGTTGTTGGTGAAACTACAATTGGCAATGTTGATGCTGATTCTCTGACAGACAACTTGTTGATCTTCAGTAACCAAAAAAATCTCTTATTTCTAAGTGTAAGGAGTTTAAGCCTTCCACTTCTCTTATTTCTGCTGTAATTTTCACCCTGAGTTAACACATTTCTCACAGCACATGTAGATCAATTTACAGCTGCCAAAATTTGTCAAAAGATTGTCCTGTTCCCTTAGTAAATTACATGTATTTCCAAAAGCACTAACAGAATGTTTTTCCATGAGATAGTGTATTAAATTACAAAAACCTGTTTAAAATTGGCACCACATTTGTACAATCCTCTGGTGACAACTAATTTAAACCAATAGTTAATAAAAAAAAATTATCATACTAATTTTATGCACTTGTGTTTATACTTTTGAAACAATTAAAAATTGAAAATCTGATAATTTTTTTTTTTTGTAATTGTCTGACAGCTCTAAAAATTTCAGAAAATGTTTAAATTGATGTTGTAACAACATACTAATATAATAAACATATTATTTTTGTTAATGTTTTTGTTATCAAAAAAAGTTGGGTATGTTCATAATTTTGAAAACAGACTAAATTCTTGAAAGTTTGAATATTTTTCTGCATTCAATATTCTATAAGTACAGGTCTCAATATAATCTACATAAGATTGGTAGATTTATAAACTGCAGCAGTTTGAAGAGATTGAAGGGTAAAATCATGGTGCATTAAGTTCAATTAAATGGCTAAAAAATGTAGTTATAAAAGAATAAAATCCTATGGAAGAAAGGACTAAAAGCTTTATGAATAAAATTAAAATTAGGCTTGTATAAAATACACAAGGAAAAACTTGCTACCAATGGTGTTAAAATCCAACTTGAAATTTTGGCATAAAATAACATACTGTCAAGCTAAGAAACAGTGACAATAGATGCACTACTCTATAATTAATGTTTGCCTAAAATTATTTTTAAAAACCTAATTTTTTGATATTTTCTGTAAACAACAGTATAAAAAGTAAGGAAATAATAAATAGTACAATACAAATGTTTGTCAGAAATAGTTAAAACTTCTGTCTTCTAATAACTGCTTGTTATAAGTAGATATAAACAGCACCATATTGCTAACATTTGCATAGTTACAAAGTAAATGACTCATGAAAACTATTATATTAGATAATTTTTTAATACTTGTGCATTTATGTAGCAAATTATTTGCATACAATTAGACTATTGATGGAAATGTAAAAAGGTTGTGCAGGAAGAAAAATGATGATAATACAATTGTAAAGCTTGTCTTTGAAAACAATGAAAATATCAGCTACTTGAAATATATAAAATCAGTTTGGAAGTTAAGACAAATACTTATTATATATTTTATTTATTAATTGATTTTAAAATAATCTATAAAAAAGTCAGCAGTTTGAAGTGAGACATAAAAGAAGAAATCATGCAATTTCTACAAACCCTAATGAATTACAAGTGATTATTATTAAAAAAGAATAATACATAACATGCTATCTCAGATGACACTTTTAAAATTTAAAAATATTTTACAGTGGTACCTCAGGTTACGAACGCCCCAGCATACGAAATTTTCAGGATACGACATGAAATTCGAACATATTTTTGCTCCACGATACGAACAAAAACTCACCATACGACGTTACATTAGTTCGCATTTTTCATTTGTTTTTCTTACTACAGTTATTTTTTTTAATGTATTACTTGGCTTTAATTTGAGTATGTTTTTCGCGTTGGAACGAATTATTTGGTTTTACATGTAATCGTATGGGAAAAGATGATCCACCTTACGACATTTTCATGATACGATCTCAGTTTCAGAACGGATTAATTTCGTATCCTGAGGTACCACTGTATATTTATTCATTATTATTGAATCAATTTTAGTGTAACTTTTATCACTATTAATCAATACTTACCTTTCAAATAATTACAAAATTTTAACTTTGATTCTTTTTCTACCGAATATCTTCTCACTGCATCTACAATATCACTTTTACCATTTTCTCTGCATAGCAAAATGACTTCTACCTTCCTGCAGATATCATGCATACTGAAGCCTAATAAATATAAAATTTTATTTTAGATACAACTAAAAATTCAGTATTATTGTTTAAAACATTAATTTTGAATAATATTTTTTTGGTTTAAAAATTACAAGTTAAATAATGTATAAAAATTGTTTAAAATGCATTCTGAACAACAAAATTAAATATTTGAATATTTCCAATCATTTTAAATTTGTGTATTTTTCTTGTTTTTAATGAAATGGAATTTTAAAATAAAATTCAGTAAATGACTTTTTAAGTAATGACTTTTAATGTTTAAAAACGTTAAAAGTCTATATAAATGTATTTAGAAAATTAATTACAATGGAAAGTAAAATAGAAGAGGATAAAGTGGTATTTGAAATTAAGAGGAGGAAAAAATTATAAAATACATGATATACACTGATGTATATTGCTATATTTACCAAAACTTTAAAGCATCATACTTTATTCAAGTTATTCAATTTGCAGAAAATTACCAATCCTCATACTGGTTTTGAGGAAACTCTTTGAACAACAGTAACCAACCAATAAGAAAAATTAAAGTTGAACTAGCAATTAATGATTTCACCAAATCATAGATTACTTAATCTATATATACAAAAATGTGTGTGTGTGTCCTTCATGCATTACCACACCGTTTATCCAATTGCCGTGAAACTTTGGGAAGTCGTTTAATATATTCCCGCGAAGGTTTCTGGCATAGTACGATTGCCATGAAACTTTGGAAAGCTTTTTAATACACTCCCGCGAAGATTTCTGGCATAGTACATTTATCCTACGATAGATGGCGTGCGTGTATACAAGCACTGTGTATTCTGTGTGTTCGATCGATTTCAAATTGTGAAAACCATTTCCCCTCTCCAAAAAATCTCTCTATATATGCATTTGTTATTTACGATATTTGTAATAATTTTTGTTTAATCACTTTATTTCAACTTTTTTTTGTTAATTATGTATTTGCTTGAACTCTGTTAAAACCTTAACTGTATCCCGAACAACAACCAAAGTTGTAGGAGGAAATTCACCTATTTTACCAATCTAGGGATCCCCTCTTTTCCCAATTTTAATATCAACTCAAAATAATTTAAAAAGACAAATTACAATAAAACAGTTTATTATCCAACTATCACAAATTTCACAACATGCCAAGGAAGAGAGAAAGGAGCAATTAAATAATCAAAATTATAAAGGATTTTAAAAAATATATAAAAATGGGGAATATGCACTTCTAACAATCTCTGCGAGTATGTGGGCTAAATTTAAAGAATCTGTGCTTCTCACATGTACAACTATATGTGGCCAGCTCACGTGTCGGAAAACCTTCTGATTTATTCGCATACACACCAGACGGAAAAACAAAAAATATCGTGTATCCATAAGCACTTCAATAAATAAATAGAATTGAAACGACACTTTGAAATGTTTTCCCGATGAAAAT